AGATGGAAGCAACTCAAGTGGCCATTGACAGAAGAAAGGGAAGACAAAGTGAGGTCTATACAATGGAATATTAGTCAACCCTAAAAAGGGAAGGAAATTCTGACATATGCTAAATAATATAAATGAATCTTGAAGACACTATGTTAAGTGAAATAAGCCCATGGCAGAAGGACAAAGAGAGAATGGTTCCACTCACTATGAGGCACCTCAAGTAGTCAAACGCATAGAGTGGAAAGATGGTTTCCAGAAGGGGGTGCGGGGAGGGACTTATTGTGTCATGAGCACAGAGTTTCAGTTTTGCAAGATAAAGAGTTCCGGAGATGGATGTTGGTAATGGTTGCACAATAGGGTAAATATCTTTAACATCAATGAACCGTACCCTTAAAATTGGTTAAATTTTCCGTGATGTGCATTTTACCACAGTTTAAAATAAATTCTTTTGAAGTTAATTTACTTATTTTGAGAGAGAACGTAGGTGGGCACTCCCTAGTGAAAGTGAGGGAAGGGACAGAGAGAGAGAGAATCCCAAGCAGGCTCCGTCCTGTTAGCACAGAGTGCAACGTGGGGCTCAATTCCACCAATCATGAGGCCATGACCTAAGCTGAAACCAAGAGTTGGATGCTTAACTGACTGAGCTACCCAGGCGCCCCATAAAAATATGGTTTCTTTTTGACAAAACTAAAAGATCTTCTAGTTTTGAAAAAAGAGAGAGGGAAGCAATCTGTCTCCTTTATAACTATGCCTAGGTTTGTGGGGTTGTTGGCTTTTTTTACTTTTTTTTTTTTTAGAATAGTTTTAAGTTTGTGGCAAAATTGAGAGGAAGATACAGGGATTTTCTATATCCCCCTCATGCTACCCCAACTCATGCAAAGCCTCCCCCATTAACAAATCTCTCACCAGAGTGGTACATTTGTTACAGCTGGTGATCCTTCCCTGATGCTTCATCATCGCCAAAGCCCATTTTACATTATGATTCACTCTTGATGTTGTATATTCTGCAGATGTGGAGGGAAATGTTTTTATTATTATTCTCATATATTAAATTATTTATAACTCCACTGAGTTAGAACTCAAAATCCACAGAAGAGTATATTAAATGTGCACTGAACTATCAGAAATATGGAAAACATTTGGTACTCAAAGTGCGGGCTGAAGACCAGCAGTATCAGCATCTCATGGCAGGGGCGCGGGGGGGCGGGGGAGGGTGTAGAAAAGCAGAATCTCGTGCTCTTCCCCAGACCTACAGAAAACCAGAATCTGCATTTATCAAGATTCCCACGTGATTCACTGTCCGTGAAAGTTTGGGAAGCACTGGTGTAAACCATTCATCACCACAAACTGAGCAAAAAATCATGTGAAGACAAATATGCCGCATTATTGTATGCGGAGTTAAATTGAGGAAAAGGTCCAGGTTTTATTCTTCTTTACATTCTTAAAAATAATTAAAGCCAAGGGGCACCTGGGTGGCTCAGTCGGTTAAGCATCCAACTTCGGCCAGGTAATGATCTCACGATTCGTGGGTTCAAGCGCCACATCAGTCTCTGTGCTGACTGCCAGCTCAGAGCCTGGAACCTATTTCGGATTCTGTGTCTCCCTCTCTCTGACCCTCTTCTGCTAACGCTGTCTCTCTCTCTCTCTCTCTCAGAAATAAATGAAAAATTAAAAAAAAAAATTAAAGCCAAATCCATTTATTGCCTTGAACATAGAAAATGCTTATACTGATCCACAAGTTTGATTTAGTATGTCGAGGACAGTGTTCTTTGAAGAGTCTATGGAATCAAACAGTGGATGTGATCGAAGTAAAATGATTAAAACAAGCACAAATCTCTCAGAGTGACTGATGGCAGGTCTGAAATACCAAGAACTCACCATGACAGCAGAATTAATGCACAATAATAATTCACCAAGGAAAGTGCTCATCCTTATAAATGCCCAAGAGCAATAAAATTCTGGTCACTGGTAATGTGAGAAATAATACCTACAGCCAATTGGGCTAACTTAATGAGATTAAAATGATAGAGGACAGAAAAGATGTCCCAAAATTTTCTCTGAACACAAAAAGGGGGAAATTGCCCAATGTAAGTATTCAAAATATTAAAATAAGAGTAAGAAAGAGAGGAAATCCGTGTTTGGGTTAAGAAGGGCTTCTTCTTGGGGCACCTAGGTGACTCACTCACTAAGCCTCTGACTTCGGCTCAGGTCATGATCTCATGGTTTGTAGGTTTGAGCCCCGTGTCAGGCTCTGTGCTGACGGCTCAGAGCCTGGAGCCTATTTCAGATACTGTGTCTCCTTCTCTTTCTGCTCCTTCCCCATTTGTGCTCTGTCTCTCTGTCCTTCTCAAAAAATAAACAGTTAAAAAAAATTTTTTAAAGGGGGAGGGGCTTCTTCTTGGGATTTTTTTCACACAGGTTTATTGTGATGTGTTTCCCCCGTTACCTCTGCAGCAGTTAGATTAAATGTTAAGTTTACACTTAACACTGAACACAAAAAGTAAATTCCTAATAAGGAGATAAAAGTGAAAACCATATAGATAAAACAAAGATGACTAGGGAGAGGGCGTGAATGAAGTAAGATCCTGTCTCTGATACCAGGGCATTTATGGCTGGAAAACATATTTCCACTTAATGAAAATAATCTTCAACAGTCATTGGGAGCCCTGCCCTCTTTCATTTTCTTTTCCTCTGGCAACCTTCCACTTGCTCTGGCTTTTGCAAGAGTAAAAATAAGTAAATTTGACTCAATAAAACCAAGTATTATTTTACAAGTACAATCTGGAAATCAATCTAAGGTTTGGCTTGTTGTTTTTGAAACTGATTCTAATTTTAAGCAACAATTCAGAGGACCCCTGGAGGTTTACATGAGCTCATCAGTAGCAAAATCATTTTTTAAGTAATTTTCAATGCTTTCCAGAGCAAGACAGAAACTCTTTAAATTGCCAAACTTCTTGGCACATTCCACATGCCCGACCAGTGCTCTTGTTCCCCAAGTGAGAGGAGAATTGGAAGTAACAACTTACTCCATCACAAAACTCATGGTGAGTATTTGGCTCTGGATTTTCTGTACTGAAATGACTGTGGCATCTTAGGACTTCACCTGGGGCCCACAGGTGAGATCTTCAGAGATGAATGTAACACTCTCATAAATGTCCTACTCTCAATTTACCAATCGTATAGAACAACAGTCAACATTTTACTGAGCAAAACTAGAAAGTAATAAGGAACTCAAAACTAGAGGGGAGGGGTGGTTAAGGCTCAAGAAGCTACACTCATGATGTGATGAACACTGCAGGATTTGGCAAACGGTGGGCTGAAGCTATTTGAAGAGTGATTTTTTTTTTTTAAATCACAGAAGAGAGCTATACGGAAAGCCTTTAGCACTAGTAACAAGGTGGGAACATAAAGCTGACACTCGGGGGCCAAGTGGGTTGTGACTGCACCTACCTCTGAATACCTGCTGTCTACTGTTGAAAGCACTGCTATAACCATTGGGGTCCATGTACCCTATGAACCAGCACTATCAACAACAGCCAAATCATGGAAAGAGCCCAAATAAATGTCCATCAACTGAAGAATGGATAGAAGATGTGGTTTATATATACAATGGAATACCACTTGGCAGTGAGAAAGAATGAAATCCTGCCATTTGCAGCAATGTGGATGGAACTGGAGGGTGTTATGCTGAGTGAGATAAGTCAGAGAAGGACAGATACCATATGTTTTCACTCGTATGTGGATCCTGAGAAACTTAACAGAAGATCATGGGGGAAGGGAAGGGGGAAAAAATAGTTACAAACAGAAAGGGAGGTAGGCAAACTGTAAGAGACTCTTAAATACAGAGAACAAACTGAGGGTTGATGGGGGAGAGGGGAAAATGGGTGATGGGCATTGAGGAGGGCACTTGTTGGGATGAGCACTAGATGTTGTCTGTACACAATGAACCATACGAATTTACCTCAAAAACCAAGAGCGTACTTTACGCACTGTATGTTAGCCAATTTGACAATAAATTATGTTAAAAATAAACAAAATAAAAAACAGTAAACACAAGAAAAAAGCAAAAAATGAAATTAAATAATTAAATGCCTGCTGTCACCAGTCCTTAGGAGACAGTGAAATGACACAGGCTGAGAGGGAGTTCAACCATACACTATCATGGTTTGGGCCAACTTCACCTTACAAGTGGACCTGCTCTGTGACCCCCTCCCCCACCCAGCAACCTAGAACTCATAGAAAGTTCAATCTAGAATGGACACTTGAGGCCCCTAGTAAGCATCGCAATCAGGAAAGGAAACTGGGACTCAGAGAGCAAAAAGACATCCATCCCAAGAAGCCAGGTCATGATATAAATGAGCTCTTTAACTCGATTTCCCTGCAAATTAATTCTTTGTCCAATCTGTAGACATGCACATCTGCTCCGTGTTCTCCGTAAAGCTGTATTTGCCTCAGTCTTGAATAGCAAAATTTCCCCATCCTCCAAAATGCAAAACTAAGGCATTATAAGGCACTTCCCGTGACCCCCACTGACCATTAAGAGAGCTTGAAAATAGACCAAGTCCTACAAAAATACAAGAAAACATTTCATGGACACTAGTTTTTCACCCAAAGACAACTAGGTACTTCTGCAAACACTGGGTCTTTTTATTTTTTATTTTTTTTTTAAAGATTTTTATTTATTTCTAGGAGAGAGAGAGAAAGATAGCGTGAGCAGGGGAGGGTCAGAGAGAGAGGAGTCACAGACTGAAACAGGCTCCAGGCTCCGAGCTGGCAGTCAGCACAGAGCCCGACGTGGGGCTCGAACCCACCAACTGCGAGATCATGACCTAAGCGAAAGTCGGACGCTTAACCGACTAAGCCACCCAGGCGCCCCAAACACTGGGTCTTTTTAGAAGACAGTGTCAACTTTATTGCTTTTGGAAATGCTGTGTAAAGCATGGAACTTTACAGTTTGCACATAAGCAATTTCCATCTTTAAATTTAAATATATTTATGTGGTGAGAAAAAGTACATGCATATGAATATATATAATTTTCTTAAATCATCCCCATTTACATTAGAAATTTCTTTATACAAACATCAACCTTCTTTTCTCAAAAAAAAAAAAAAAAAAGCAACTGGTAAGAACCCTCCGAGACGTCAGAAAATGCAGCTTTCCGTGTAAGCGGCCTTTCACTGAGAGACATGAGTGATGGCAGATGAAGGCCTCTTCAGAATAGACTCAACAGAAAATGACAGGGGTTCATTCACAGAGAGTTTTGTTCCAACTTGCTTGGCGACGAAAAGGTCTTCCGCGTATCTATCTATTGTAAATGTGTACTTCTGGTTCTCCTTGACTAAACACTCCCTGGGTTTCTTAGGGGCGTCTTCAAAGGCCCCTTTGACAAATGGCATTTTCAGCTCAGGGCCTGATGTGTCATTAAGAGTTTGCTGGAATAATGAATGGAATGGATTATGTTTAAGTGGCACGGGGTGCCGGGTGCTTTCTTTGCTGATCTTGGTTAAGACGTGCCCTTGAGCCGCCAGGGAGTCCGTGTCAACAATGGGAGAGAAATTCCGTCGGGGTGGGGAAAACGCAGACCTCTCAGGGCAGCCCTGGTGACCCTGAAGGTCACTTCTCGTGGTCTGGACCTCCGCAGCATGAGGCGACACCAGCGAGCCTTCTAGTTTGGCTGGCATCATGTCGTGCTCTGCCAGGAGGCCCTCCTGGACTCGCACTCCCTTCATGTCCCAGCCGGTCCCAGGTTTCAGGGCTTGCACCGAAGTGGTGGTGTTTAGGAGGCACTGCTGATAAAGAAGAGTGTCACTAATGGGGCCACACTTGGGCCAAACCAAAAATCTTGAGGACAAGGGATACTGTCTGTAAGTTGTAGCCACGCTGACGTTGGAAGAGATGAGTTCCATATTCCCGGAACCTGAATACTGCATGGTTAGATCGAGGCAGGTGGGCAAAAAATTGCAGAAGTCCTTGTTTGGCGGCTCCACGGGGGTGGGGCTGTAAGCACTTTTGTAGGAGTTATATTCGGGTCCGTGCACCATACGGTTGGGCAGGAACAAGGCAGCAGCTTGGGAGGCTTCCAGCATCTCCCTCTCTTTATATTCTCTCTCGAGCATAATGTTCTCCAACTCTTTATCAGCAAAGGCTCGCCTTTTCCTCATCCGGTCACTTACCGGGGGAGGCAGGGGTAAGCTCCCTCCCACATAAGTCTCTGCTGGAATTGGGCGGTAGCCTAAAATAAGCAAGCATTGCACAGGAAAGAGATTAAACAACCAGGGAAGAAAAATCTGGAAACCCGTAAGGTAAGAGAAACACTGCAAATCGGCAGAACAAGAACAAGAGCAGTTTACAGGTCTACAACATTCATCTTTTACACAGAAAGTACGGGCTCAGTTGAAAAGAGGTCTCTTTGGGGAGCAGGAGATCCAGGTTGTAACTTTTTCTTATTGTTGTTTTTTGTCATTACAGGTTTTTGTTTACCTTTACAGGCACACTTCACTGGCTGAAAGTTTAATCTACTTCCCAGGTGCCTACACATTAAGAGACAAGTCTGCTCATCTTGCTTCAGTCAATCTTTATTACTATCCGTGTCATCTTTTTCCATAATCAAAAAAGATATCTATACCTAAAGCTGACGGCATTGTTATTTTCTAAGGACGGTTCGTTATGGACATTGTTACAGGTGTAGAATAATCCAAGGAGAACTAGGAAAAAAGAGAAAGTGACAGCAGATTAGCGAGGAGAAAAACAGAAAAGACTAAGAAAACAGGGAAGCACAGAAAATTGAAAAGAGCTGTTAACTAGTCAAACAGATTCTGCAGAGAACAATGTAACCAGGCCCCTCCCCCCGACTTGCAGTACAAACAAACAAACAAAACTAAAGGCAGAAGAGATTCCCTGCTCTATTGAAAATAACCGATCTAAAACATTTTTCCCAGTCACATTGGCCAGTTACCAAAATGGCTGAGCGGGCGATCCTTAGATATAAAGCCATTGCACATTTCATGAAGAAGGACAGAGATTTTAAAAATGAAAGAGCAGCGTGGCATAAACAGAACTCCTAGCAGCATAAAATGCTTTGAGTATTTCACTATCCCCAAGCACTCAGGACTAGTGAATTTGTTTGAAGGAGCCATCGTGACGGTTGTGTTTACAGAGTGACAAGCCCATCGCCCTCATTTGCAAATAAAATCAAATTTGAAAATTAATGTTTCCATTTCTATGGTAAGTTTTTGCCAGGAAGTTATTTATTTGAATTTACTATTCCATTTTGCCCGCCTGCTTCTCAAGTTGCTTTGGCACCTTTTCAATTTATCGTGTGGTCCCTATGGCTATAAATCTGTTTACCCAGATTGCAACCAAATTCATCTTTACCGCACACGAAACCATTCTAAGGTCAGAAGTGCACAGCACAGAGTTAAGACACAAACAAAACTCTACAACCTGCCTACAACCAACTCAATTCAGAAGCCACAAGAGAAGAAACAGAATTCAAATATCTACTTAAAAAAAACCAAAAACAAAAACTGCTTTTCAACCTGAATCTTGGGAAGGAGCAGCGATTAGAACAAATACAAACTTTCCTTTATTTAAATGGTGAAAGTTAATCAATATATTGTTTATCAGATCAATAAATCTCATCCCCAAAGAGAGTCACTTTTTAAAAACAGCAATATTTTAAGAAAAATTAATGTATCCCCCAAGCTTTGGAGAAAGCGAAAACTTGGTAGAGAGACAGAAGGCACGCTGTTCAAATTCAAATTCAACCTCCACTTCTCTGTTTGATTCAAAACTTTTTCCAGATTTCTACAATCTCGACTGCTAGAAATAAGAAATAGTAAACTGAGGGCTGGAAAAAACACAGTGACATAACTGATCCTGATCGGAATACAGTGCAATGAAAAACAGCAGTATTGGACCTTTACTGGCATGGGTACTTCACTTATTCACTTCAACTACAACCAAAGAATTAGTTCTTAATTTATTTCTTTGCCCAGTCCATGATCCGTGTATCTATGCACAGCCCTCACACTAGGGCAAATTTCAAATGCACTCCGTGTTAACCTCTCACTTACTAGGCAGACTACAACTATTATGCAGACAAGATTTACCGGAGACAAAAAACTCAAGAGGTATGTGAGATCCATTTCCCCACACCCAGATTTCCTCCGTAGAGCAAAACTTCCAAATGAAAAGTACCCTCCCCCTCAGACTGCTCCTTCACAGGTTAATAAAAATGCCGTATGTGTGAATATGGGAAGCCCTCAGAACTTGGTTTAAAAGGCTGAAGAAAACCTCTGCGTTGCTTTACCTTCTAAAATGCTTTTGGCCAGCAAACTGGGGGCCCTCACTTGCCTCTGATATACGGCTTTGCGCTCGAAATTATTCTGTTTCCCGGAAAGCCCCTTCTTGTCCTGTAAACACAAGAAACATAATCAACAATGCCCTGAAAGAAATCATGGGACAGAAGAGAGAAGGAAGGGGCATCCACAGCCCTCCCCGGTCTAAACGTATTTCTTTTTCCATCCCATGCAAAAATGATTCTAAACAAATTCACATCAGCACCCCCTTAATCCCAGGACAATGAGCTACTTCAGTTGATGGGCACTGGGGCAGATTTTCTCTGGGGCCACGGTGACGGGGTCACCCCAGAATCATCCCACAGCTAGAAGCTGGGAGGCATCCCACAGTCAAGATCGCAGGAGCCAGGCCCTGAAGGAGAGCTGCTGGGGGACAGCTGTGTCCCGGGTGCCCAGAGGTACAGCCAAAGATGCCCATGGCCTGCCACTGAGCACTGAGGCGAAGCTGGTTTCTCCTGGCAGTAAGGCAGGCTCGATGGAGGGCGAGGGCTTGAGAGAGAGGTAGGAGGGAACCTGTCTCTCACACTCTCCCGGGTCTGGCCAAACGCACTGGGAGCCTGGAATACGTGAAGGGGAAACAAAAGAAAACCAAACACCCTCAGAGGCCGCCTGGGACAGAGGACGAGGGGAGACCCGACTGTGCTCCCTCTGTCACCTCCCGGATCGGGTGGGTCCTTCTACACTGGAGTCCAGCTGGGGACCCTTGAGGGATGCATAAGCCTGCCTGTGCAACGTGCCTCATGCAGAAGGAGGCTCAGCCCAAGGCCAAGGCCACCTCAGGCATCCAGCACCCTTTCCAGGGCCCTAGGGAAGCTTTCCATTCGGGTCACTGCCTCCGGTGAGTATGTGAACCCCTCCCCAGTCCCTCCTAGCCCAAAAGTAAAAGCAAAAATCCTCCCAGGCCCTGAATCTGTAAGGGGGGACCCCCGCAACCTCCCTGGCTCTGAGCTCTCCCAAGTGCAGGAACCCATGGACACGGGAAACCTGGAGGTCAAGACAAGCCTCACCCCTAAAGAAAACCCCAGCTCTCCTTACAGCTGCAGCCCCCCGTGGGAAGCAGCGGGGACCTCTCCACCAGTCCCTTAGCTTAGGTCAGAAGCTTCTGTCTTCAGGACCCAGGGCTGCGGGCACCTAACTTCCCACACCACATTTGGTCTCATCTGTAAAATGGGCAGCACTTTCTGCCTCTCCCTTCGACAGCAGAAGCTGCGCGGTTTGGTTTGGTTTGGTTTTTTCCGAGAACAGCACCGGTAACACAGCGATTGCCGCCACCACTGTCCTCCCCCTCCCCCCCCCAACACCTCCCAAATAAACCTTAACACGTAGAAGAAAAATATGTTGCCCCAAAAAGTCCCAAACCACTCTGAAGCCTTCTCTGCCTGCTTTTAAAATTACAAAATGTTTTCGGCCAACTTCCCCAGCGATGCCCCCGGCTTCCTCCCCGCGGCGACTCCCGCAGGCCACGGGGTCTCCACAGCCCGCGGCGCCTCGCTCGCTCGGGGGTGGGGGGCGGGCCGTCCCTTCCCACGCCCGGCACCCGCGGCGCCCCCTGTCCCCCCCACCCCCCCACCCCACCCCCGGGCCCGGCGGGCTCTCACCTCGGTGGCCTGCTGCCTCCGCAGCGCCACCTGGGCGGCCATGACGCGCTGGCGCTCCACCACCAGCAGGCAGTTGGCGCACTGGCAGTCGCGCCAGCGGCAGAAGCGCTTGTGGCCCTTGAGGCACGACACCACGCCGTGGTTGCGGCAGCGCGCGCACTTGGGCGTGCGGCTGAGCTTGCGCGGCTCCGCGCCGCCGCCCGCGTGCGCGCCGCGCTCCGGGGGCCCGGCCGGCGCCCGCGACGCCTGCGGCGCGGGGGGCGGCCCCGGCGGCGCTCCCCGCGGCGGCCCCGGCCGGCCCGCCACCCCCGGGGACGCGCCCGCCTCCAGGCCGTCGCCGTCGTCCTCCGCGTCGTCGGCGTCCTCGCCGTCGCCGTCGGCCGACGGCGGGCTGGGCCCGGGCGGCGCGCGGCCGGCGTCCTCCAGCTCCAGGCTCTCCACGTCGATCTCCCAGTCCCCGGCCGCCGGCCGCTCGGCCATGGCGCGCTCCGGCTGCGGCTCCGGCTCCGGCCTGCGCTCGGTCTCCTGCGCCCTGGGGGCTGGCGGACACGGAAAGACCCGAAGACGCACCGGCCACCGTCAGGCACGGACCCCCGGCCTGGAGCCCAGAGCTGTCGTAGGGCCTCCGGCCCTCTGAGGAGCCCTGTTCTCTGCGCGTCCCTCACATCCACACCGCGCTGCGTTTCTGGGGTCCTTAGGGCCCCCGGAAGTTCCCCACTCAACAGGGTTTTTAGCTGCGGAGTCTAAGTGCTCTGGGAGCGCCTGACCTTTACCCACAGACCTCTCTGCTGCTTTACACCCGCTTTCGGGACAAGACCCCGGGTAACGCGCTGATCTCACACACACACACACACACACAGTTGTGTGTCCAACTACGCCGGCCCGGGCCACTTGGCAGGCTCCCCCACACCCAACTACGAGGGCCACGATGAGTGTGAAAATATCGATAGGAGAGTTATTTTCCGCTTTGGATCACGAGGGGCCCTTCCAGACCCAGCGGAGGACCATCCTCCGCCTCTCAAATGCCTCACCCTCTTAACACCACTACAGAGACCCCCCCCCTTTTGAGCTGGGAGCGGCCCTCTCATGCCCCCCCCCCCCGGCCCCTAGCAAATAATCAACTCAACACCAAGAAGTGTTCTTCTGTCAGAGCCTAGCAAGGACAGCGCGCACGGCGCTGCAGATGCCCTTGCATCAGGGATGCGTGAGCCTTGCAGGGCTGAGCTGCGCGGTCTCCACACACGCCGGGCATGGTTTGCGCTTCAAGGCAAGACATCCAAGTAAATTAGGACAGATAAGGAAAGGCGACTTGGGCCCCCCCGACACCCCGCAGCGACATCACAGCACTCACCCGAGACTCTGAGGCCCGAGCTAGCAGCCGAGGCAAAAGAGATCCAGCTTTAGGACCTGGCTCCTGGGCTGTTGGCTGCTGCGCTTGCCAACAGAAATCGGGGGCGCCACGCCCTGCCACGGAATCGGGGGCTGACAGCTGGAGGCTCAGAGCCCAGGGGACGGGGGGGGGGCGGGGGGAGGGTACGGGAGGATGGGTGGAGAAGATGAATCAGGTCCTCAGCGGCCTCGCCCCGCACATCCCGGACTCCGCAGAGTTCTAAGCGGTCCTTGGCAGCCCCGAGCGCTTCCCCTCGCAGGGGCTGCTTCTGCTTCCCGCGAGCCCGTCTCCGCGGGGATGCTGGGCGGCCCGGGCCCCGGATCTCGGGCTCTCGGAGCAGCGTAAGCGGCTGCGCGCGGCGCGGCGCCCCTTGCAGCAATAGTCAGCCTCTGCTCGCTTCCCTAGTATTATGGGCTCGGGGCCCCCGAGCACCGCGCCCTCTAATTGGACGGTTGTCAGGCGGTGTGCGCGCTGATTGGCCGAGGCGCGCCGGCCTGGCGCTCCCCGCCTCCTGGCGGCCGGCGCGCCCTCCCCCCTCCCGCGCGCCTCCGGAATCCACCCGCGCGGCGTTCGGCGCAGCCGGGTTGTCCGTCCGTGCGCTGAACCCGAAGTGTGACGGCGTCTGCCGGGGTGAAGTCGCCGTTTATCTTTGGGACCATAGAAAACACACTCCGGCGAATCGCACTGTTCACCGGGGAAGGGGATAGTCCAGGCAGCGGTCGGAAAGACTGGCGTTGGTCTCTGCGTTATCTGCACGTCCAGTGTTTGTGCGACTCATCTTTAAGCCCGAGTTGGGGGTGGAAATGAGGCCTCTCTAACCGGGCACAGCGCTGCGCCCCGCGTTCTCCTGCGAGACTAAGTCAGGGGCTACCTGCACCACCACCGGCCGGGCTGGCGGACCGACGGTCTGCAGGTATGTGTGTGGCTTGCGCCGCTCACCCTTCAAGTGCAAAGTCGTTCCTCCTAACTTTCCTCTCAGCGGCGAGGCCGGCGGGTCCCCAAGTCACCGACTTCACTTACATTTTTCTCCGATGTCAGTTACTGTTACCGTGCAAGGGGGGGTGAAGGGGGGAAACGGAAACACATGCAATTTAGAGATTTAGGTGCCACATAACCGCTCTAAGCATGTGTTTAAACGACGCTGTTTTAAAGATGACTGTTTTTAGTGTGCATGAATGTATTTATAAAGAAAAAAATACTTCCTACTGTCTCTCTCAATAACCCCTTACGCAGATGTTTAATAAAATTGCCAACATGTTTAAAGGAAGAATTAGTCCCCTAATTCAACGCTACATTTTATGTCTTGAAGTGAATTTAAAATCGCTCAGACGGCGTGTCTAGTCACCCCTTTTAAATAACCGATGCCTCTCGGGATCGGTTTGGGGGACACATTGGGAGACTGAGTGCCGCTGCGCCGAGCACACAGTAGGCCTGCGATAAATGTGCGTTAAAGGAAGGAAACTGCTGAACTGATTCTGACGTTTCTTTTCTCCAAGGCCGATGAACCAAGTTCTGGGCGGTGGAAAGGAGGCAATTTAGGAATTACTGTGGAGGTAAGGCGATCGGCAGGCGGGACCCGCAGTGTTCCCAAGCCTTCAACGGAGTTGGAAGGCTCTTTTCTGGTAACCAGACACTGGGGTTTCCCTGTGTGCGGATGCTTCTCCCCAGAGCCTCTTGCAGCGTCTGGTAAAGGAAGCAGAGAAACAGTTCTGCTATTTCAGGAGACTGCTCAGTGGCTCTGGGCGTCTCAGAGAGTGACTTGGGAGCCCTGCGTGCTCAGAAATGGGCAAAGAGTCACGCAGACCCTCCGTGCCTCTTTCTTGGCACCACCTCATAACACCCGTCTTATCACCTTTTGCGTAGTTCTTTATACTCGCCGAAGTGCATTTGTTCATCTCCCTGAGAGCATTTGAAATTGTGACCACAGCACAAATGCGTTATTTCCTCCCGTTTTTCCAGTGATTAAACTCTGAGGTTCACAGGAGCCCTGGGTCACGCAGTGGTCTCCGAGAGAGAAATGAGCTGGTGGGACTCTAAAGTCTCAGAAACTTCGCGAATCCCTTCGCTCCCTACCAGAAAAATTCACAATACGACCGTGTTTTTTATTTTATATCCCCCTCCCCTCTCCCTGTCTGATTTTAATACCTGGAGTTTGAGCAGCCTTCCTCTAACAGGACACAGCATGTTTTTATCAACTATCGTAGCTTTTTTTTTTTTCTGCGTCTACTCCTGCTAGCTACATTTCTGCTTTTGCAAACACGCATTTCAGTGCCTCTCCCCTGCGACGTGAAAGTGAACTGCAAACCTTTCCCAGAGCTGGCCTTGCGTGCACACGATTGGCATCCTGGGCTTTTATTTTGTTTATTGCTTGCCGGGGGGGGGGGGGGGGCACATTAGCCCTTCACTAGGTATTTTGATTATCAAGAAGCAAAATCAAGGAAGTCGATTTGCTAATTGTTGGGGGGGGTGTAACAGATTGAGGGGAAGGGATACCAGGAACACACAGGAGGGAAAGGGGCGTTGAGTGGCAGTTTCCTAAACAGAAAATAACCCAAACAGTCCTTGAACTAGCCGGAGTTGTAAAAGCTGCTATACAAGGAGGAAACAAGAGGGATTTGTGTACAGTAAACTATGCAATCGAAACTAGTTTGGGAGATGGGGGCTGGGGTTGGGGGAGGTAGGGGGACCCAAGGACAGTGGCACTAGTTCCTGAACTCCAAGCAAATCCTGAGAGCATGGGTGGGCTGGACTGGCCTTCCCCACTCCCCACCCCCCTCACCCCCACCCAACCCTGCAGTGTCCAACCCAACGTGGGGAGGCAGCACTCTCCAGCTTGCTGGAGGGATTGGGCCCTCGGGTTTCAGGTGGGTGGGCACTCTCCCACCCCTAGAAGAAACCGACGGGATAGGCCCCCCCTGCTTCCTCTACACCTCCCTGCCCTTCTCCAGGAGTCCCCCTCCACCCTCACCCCCACCTGTCCCACCACCAACTCTGCCCCCCATCTACCACTCAGAGGTAAGTAGCTGAATGGTGATCCAGTTGAATTCCACTCCATTCCCTGGCCCTGAAGGCCCCCGCAGAGAATCAGAATCCCTACAAATTGCTAAAAAGTGAGGTATGGGTGGGAGGGAGGGGGAGAGTGGGGAAAGGGATTTTTTTTTTTTATCCTGAGACGAGCTTCAGGAAGTCTGAGGAATTCCTATGTTACACACGAAATTATCTCCATTTTTTCTGGGAAAAATAAAAAGGAATCTAAGGGTGCACAAACTGGTTAGTAAATTAAACGTGCGGAAGCACAAGGAATCCAAGAGCCTGGGCTCTAAGGGGCTTGTTCCTCTGTGTGATCTTGGTCTATTTTTCTGTGCCTCAGGTGTCTTATCTGCAAAATGGGAAGAGTGGCCTTCCTGGGCATAGTCCTTCTGAACTTGACTTTGTGGGAAGCAGCCTCATGAACTTCCAGAGGCTGGTCGTTCGCAGCTCAGGCAGGGTCAGGCCTCCCAAGCTTGACTGAAAGGAGAGGGCGCGGGGAATCCAGCTCCTTTCTCCACGTTGCTCTCCACAAAGGGGTCGGCTGTGGCTTGTGGACCCGTTAGGTGAGGAAGACAGAAGTCCTTTGTCAAGTTCAATTACCAAGTTCAATTCGGAGTCCTTCTTGTAAACGACAATGCAGCGGGGCCGCCCCATCGACAACGTGCCTCCGGCTTGGGGGGAGGGGGGAGGCCTGCGGGTCTTCTCTCTTTGGCTGCGCAGCGCCTCTCCTCTGCTTCCCTCTCCCGTTCCCCCAAATCTCTCTCACCCACACCCCTCCCGGTCCCCGTACAGCTCGGATCTACCGGTGTGAAGATCTTTAGCAAGTCCAGCAAGGGAACTTGAAAAGCAAAGGGGGGGGGGGGATGTTTTTTAATCCTTTTCTTGATAAGGGTGGCTTTCTTTTTTTTCTTTAAATACCCTTCCAAAAAGAAAAAGAAGAAAGGAAGAAAAAGAGGCTCGGGCTGGCCGGTGCTTCCCTCGAGGCGCACCCGCAGCGAATGCCTGCCGCCCGCGGGCCGAGCCGGCCCGGCAGCGGCTCCAGGGCGTTAGGCTTCCCGGC